TTTTTTTAATGCATAGCAGTTTGTCATAATTCTATTCTATTCTGTTCTATTTTATACATTCCATGGAAAGTGCTTAATTAGCTAAGATTTGTTTATGGATTTATTATTATTTATTACAAACACTAGGGAATTGGAAGGTTTGTTTATTTAAAATAACGCTTCCTCCTAGAATCTTTTAAGAGTTGACTGCAAGGTAAAAAAAAATTACTGACAATTGCAAGGCATCAAAGTAAACATTCCTGTGATAAAATAATATCGATTTAAATCAGTCATATTTGGATAAGGAATTTTCTGATAAGTTTGTGTGGCAGCCAATAGTTTAATTTTGTGAAGAGTTGTCATTAAATAGTGGAAATAGTTTAAATAGTGAAGCAGTTGATTTTTGAGTTATTCTACCAGATTTGGTGTGCAAATGAAAGAAGGTTATAAAGTTTAGTTAAAAAAACAATATAAATAGTTTAAATAGTGAAGCAGTTGATTCTTGAGTTAATCTACCAGTTCCGATATCCAGATGAAATCGTGTTAATGGAGTTTAGTTAAAAAACAAGATACAGAATGTAAGTTTACCTTCTTTTTTATGAATAACAAAAATGAATATTATATTTCAAACAATCTATAATCCCATTCAGAATCTGATTCTTGAAAATCAATGATTACACTAGATATGTGGCTGGTATCAATTATATCCTACATTTCAAGAAAATGTCGTGGTTCTAAAAAGAACCGTTTTAATACATATAAATATCCATAAAGGTATTAGTTTAAGATATTTCATCAATATCATTCCGGAATTCACAATCTGATTCGCGAGCGACAGAAACTGAAATAAAGATAACTCAGCCTCATTTTCTAATTGAAACTAATTTAATAATTTTAATATTAGTCTTTTTTCATTCTCGGTATATCTCGGAATATTTAAAATACTTTTATGACAATAAATACAGAATTTAATTTTCACTGTAGTTAAAATGTCTGAAAATACTAACCTGGAATGGCAATTATCATTTTATCCGTTGTTGTGAAAGTACTGTCACTGTCATTATCAAGATCATCTGTGTCAAATTAGATTTATATGCATAATTGATTGGATATCTATTTAGCATATTCTAAACTCCAACCAATTATACGTTCGTAAGTAGAATTCGCTTTAATATGCGAATACCCGTAAACGATACCTAATTTTCTAATTTCTATGTATAATAATAAGCGACTCACGTTTTTTTCTGTCACTTCTAGCTTAATGCGTTAGAGAGAATTCGAACAACTATGACGCACTGAAAAAAGGGTTTGGGACGGACCGTAGTAGATATGCAAAATGTTTTCTATGTTAAAGATATGAAATCAAATTTGATAAGTTATAGCAAAATAACAGAAAATAATAAGATTATTTCTCTAGGTAATATTTCAAAAGTTTTTGATAAACTTGGTAATATAACAGCAGTTGCTTTAAAAAATAATGGCTTATATATTATGAAAAGTAAATTAAAATCAGTTGAATTGCATGTAAATGTTGCAAATAAAGATATGAATAATATGAATCAAAAGGAAAAATGGCATCGTTTATTAGGTCATGTAAATTTTAAATATTTGAATATTTTATCTAAAGATCAGCTGTTGAATGGAATTCCTAATGAGTTTGAATCTGAATTTATGAAATGTAAGATTTGTATTGAAAGTAAAATGCATAATATTCCGTTTGTAAACAGTAGAAAAAAAGCTAAAGATATTTTAGAGATTGTACATACTGATGTTTGTGGGCCTTTTCGAACTACTGGGTTTAAAGGTGAAAATTATTTTGTTTCTTTCATTGATGATTATAGTAAGATTTCTAAAGTATATGCTATAAAATCAAAAGCAGAAGTATGTGATTGTTTGAATGAATATACGAATGAAAGTGAAAATTTGACTGGAAAGAAAATAAAGATTTTAAGATGTGATAATGGGAAAGAATATTTGAACAGTAAAGTCTACAGATTTGCAAAAGAAAGGGTATAGTAATTGATAATTGTCCTACATATGTACATGAATTGAATGGGACTGCAGAACGGTTTAATCGAACTATAATGGATATGTCAAGATGTTTGTTGGCTGAAGCAGATATTCATAAAAAATATTGGCCTGAAATAGTTTGTGCTGCGGTTTATTTGAAAAATCGTACTTTATCTGATACAATTGAAAAGAAAACTCCATATGAAATATTTTTTGGACAGAAACCTGATGTTTCTAATTTGCGTTTGTATGGAAGTAAAGTTTTTGTACGAAGACCAGAACAGAAGAGAATCTCTAAATGGGATAAGAAAGCTGATATGGGAATTTTAATTGGTTATAGTAATGTTGGTTATCGTGTATTATTAAATGGCAGAGTCATTGTTGCTAGACACGTGGATATTGTTGAAGAAAACGTTAAGTGTATAGGTTTAGACTTTAACGAATCAGATAATGATAATAATGAAGAGTGTTACCCTGATAAAATTGATGAAAGCTCTGAAAATGACTCAATAGATGAAACTTTTGAAAGTACAAATGAAAGTATGGATGATAGTGTGAATAAAAATGAACCTGAGTTACCTAGATCTCACAGAGCCAAAAATCCTCCAAAGAAATTTGATGACTACTATGTATATAATAGTAGTATTTTTGTAAATATGTGTAGAACTGATATACCACATACATTTGAGGAGGCGATAAATTCTAATGAAAGTAAGTATTGGAAAACAGCTATGGACAAAGAAATTGATAGTTTAAATAAAAGTAAAACTTGGAAATTGGTTAAAAATGATACAAACAAAAATATTCTGGATGTTAAATGGGTTTATACTAAAAAGTCTGATAATACTTATAAAGCTAGATTGGTTGTACGAGGTTTTCAACAAACTGATGAAATTGATGATATTTATTCACCTGTGGCTAAAATGCAAACATTAAAGATTTTATTGTCATATTGTTGTCAAATGGGCCTAGTAATTGAACAAATGGATGTTGAAACAGCCTTTTTAAATGGTAAAGTAATTTCTGAAGTTTATATTAAACAACCTAAGGGTTACGAAGATGGAACAAGTAAAGTTTGTAAATTAGTTAAAGCTTTATATGGTTTAAAAGAAAGTCCAAGGGCATGGTATGAGTGCCTAGATACATTTTTGATAAATTTAGGTTTTGAAAGAAGTAATATTGATCCTTGTTTGTACGTTTATAAAATTGGAAATGATATTATTTACTTATTAATTTATGTCGATGATTTATTGATTTGTGGTAGAAATTTAAATGAAATTAAAAGGATTAAAATTTTATTATCAGAACAATTTAAAATGAAAGATATTGGTGAAATTAAAGAATATCTTGGTATTACTGTTGATTATGATTCTAGTAAACATGAAATGAGATTGGATCAAAATAAATATATTGAATTATTAAGGAAAAAATATAATTTAGAAAAGGTAAACTGTATAATACACCTATGGAAGTAAATTTAAAAATTGATAAATCTGATCATTGTGAAAGAAATATTAAATATAAAAATTTAATTGGTGCACTATTATACATAAGTTCGGCAACAAGGCCTGATATAAGTTTCAGCGTAAATTATCTGAGTAGATTTCAAAATTGCTATAATGAAACGCACTTTAAATATGCTGTACGAATTTTGAAATATTTATGCTTAACTAAAGATTTAAAATTGTTTTATAACAGAAATGAAAAAGTAAGTATTATTGATTGTTATGTGGATGCCGATTGGGCAGGTGATCATTTAGATAGAAAGTCTACAACTGGTTTTGTAATAAGATTGTTTGGTAATGTAATTTATTGGAAATCTAGAAAACAAAAAAGCGTTACAAAAGCTTCAACTTTTGCAGAGTATGTAGCATTGTCAGAAGCAGTAAGTGAATTGATATTTGTAAAAGAATTGTTGAAAATATTTGATATTGAAATAATAAAGCCAATTGATGTTTATGAAGATAACACTGGTACAATTAGTATAGCTAATTATGGCAATTTTACAAAAAATTCTAAGCATGTTGAAATTCATTATCATTATGTAAATGATTATGTTAAAGCAAATGTTATAAATGTGGTTAAAGTAGATTCTGATGATAATATTGCAGATATTTTTACGAAGTCCTTGGGCCAAGATAAATTTGAAAAATTTCGAAGTATGTTAAATTTGAATTAATGTAAATACAATGTAAATGTAAGGAGGCGTGTTGAGAATGTAATACATTTATATTGTATACACAGATATATTGGTGTAAGAGTAAGCGGAACGCACCCATAGTGTCATGGGTTGACATGACAGACAATAATAGTAATGTCAATGAGTATCATGTAGTTGTAGGTGGTAGTAAGAAGTATGGTGGCTTAAGTTAGGTTAGTTAATTAGTATGTATGTTATAGGAAATAAAGCCTTTTATAATAGTAGTAAAGTACGACTATTTATTTTCCAAATCCACACCTTAACAATACTATATAAGTATAAGCTTTTAATATAAGGAGAAGTTTTTGTAGAGGTGGAACTATTAACTTTTTATTTACGATTTGTTAAAATTATGTTGACAACAAGAAACAACATGAATGCTACAGAAACGGTCATTGACAGAATAGAAAGAAGAGGTTTAAAATGGTTTGGACACCTATTGAGAATGCCTGACGAACGTTGGCCCCGTTGAAAAACTTCACAGATGGAAGCCCCTTGGAAGAAGAAAAAGAGGTAGACCTCGACGCTCATGGAACGAAGGAATTAGAAAAGCGATGGAATCGAGAGGTTTGGAGGAGGAACATGCTATGGACTGGGAAGATTGGCGGAGGAGAACGGGAATACGGCGATAGCCGTCTCCAAAATGTATTGTATGGATCCTGTAATATATATATATATATATATATATATATATATATATATATATATATATATATATATATATATATATATTTATGGTGAAGTTCATAGATAATTCTGCAGAGTACATCAGTTAGGATTCCAAAAGTAATACTTTAAATAAATTACTTACTTATACAAGATTCTATAGGAATCTCATAACTTCTCATCATCTTCTCCAACCTCTTTCTTATTTCCACCACTCTTTTTAAACTTTTGTAGCTTAAAAAATTCTTATGGCAAAATCCCTGCGACATTTCGCTTTGGATAAAACCATTGAATACGTTTAAGTACGTTATTAGATCTCCTTCTTCCACTTCAAATAGCCGTTTTTGAATCCTAGCTCTTATAATTGAGTTACCACTAGTAGGTTTTGTAAATACTGTTTCCACTTGAAGCATGGCGATGATGGTGAGGATCTCTTCAGAACAACCAAATTCTCCTGCAAAAAAACCATATAAATTTTTAAAAATAAGTAGTTATTAAATTGCTTATCTAAATAGAGTACTAACATGCATTACCGTCATTGTTGACCTACTAAAGATAATAGAATGACAATTGAATTGATGGTTACATGGAGCTTACATATTGTATCTAGTTAACACAACATTTACTATTAGTCAATTTCACACTCCATCTCAAAAAACGCATAAATCACTTCGGACAGGATCTTCCCCAATATATTCTGACCAAAATCAAGCATACCGTAAATATAAAGTTAATAAGGATACTTTATTCAAAATCTATCTCCTAGCTCCTTTGTTGTATATAATATACAATAACGATCTCAAAAATTGGGGGATAAAGGGGTAGAATGCGAAAACATGGAGTTGATTCCAGTTTACTACAATTAGCCTCTTCTTCTCAAATCCGACTCCCATCTTCACGCTGGTGTCCCCTGTAAACCGAGCAACCCAATCCGGTATCCAACACGGGTGGAAAGTTGGGTCGGGAACTGACGAGAGAGGGTGAAATAGCCCTTCGAAAAGGGGGTTTGGCTATAGGTTAACTACCCAATCCTGTAAAAAAACCTTTTATTATGAGAGCTATAAAGAAAAAAACCGGACTCTATACCTACGACGAACTCGAAAACGAAATAAGGATAATGATTTAAAAATTTGCACGTGGAACGTAAGAAGCCTTAATCAGCCTGGAGCCACAACTCTGCTCATACAAGAAATGAATAAAGCCAAAGCAGATATCACTGCTTTGCAGGAAATCAGATGGACTAGCTCAGGCATCCTCATCGATGCAAGACATTGCTCTAACTTATTAGATGTTAGGTCTTTTAGAGGAGCAAACATAGATAGTGAAGAGAGAATATCCCATTTAAAAAAGGAGACCGGAAAAAGGAGAGAAAAAATCGACATTAATAAACTATAAGATCCCGACATTGCAAATGTATACAGACAGCAAATAGATGATCAAATAAGGACAGAAAACTTAGAAAAAGAAGACATTAACCAACCATGGGTAAATATACGAGATATTGTGTTACAGAAATGGGTTAAAATATTGGGCAAAACCAAGTCAGAAAAAAGAAATCATTGGTTTGATCATGAGTGCAAAATGGCCACAAATAAAAAGAACGCAGCATATCAAAAAACCATAGACGCAGGATGAACATGAAGAAGAGTATAGACGTCTTAGAAGAGAGGAAAAACATATCCATCGACGTTAGAAGAGGGAATACGAATAGACCACTCTCAAGAGATATTCTTTTACCGTACCTTCCACCGTAGAGACACTAACGGTGAAATTCTACATGATAAAAACTCAGTTCTTAACAGATGAGCAAAACATGTCAGCGAGGATCTAAATATAAACGATATTGAAGAAGGTTACATCATAGACAATCAACAAAATCTACAACGTCAACTACACAGAGAAGACTCAACAAGAGAAGAAGTGTCACATGCTATCCTAAAACTCAAAGACAATAAAGCCCCAAGAATCGATGAAATGTATAAAAAAAGGTGGTGATCAACTTTTTGCAGCAATACATAAACTAATAGTTCTCTCCAAACTAGACTCCGACACAAGAGAGATACAATGGACGTTAACCACACGCCTAAGCGATCTAGAATACGCGAACGATATCTGCCTATTACTTCAAAGGTTCCAAGATCTGGCTTACCAATTGGAAACACTTTCCACTGAAGCCAATAAAATAGGTTTGAAAATCGATATTAGTAAAACCAAGTCCATGAGAATAAATGCAAGGAACAACACGCTATTTACTATCGACAATATGCAGATTGAAAATGTGGAAAACTTTACGTATCTTGGAAGTCTCATAACAGAAAACGGAGGTACAAAAGACGATATTCGTATGAGGATACGAAAAGCTCAACAAGCTTTCAGCACGCTCAATCCTGTTTGGAGATCTGGTGAGTATACTAGAAGGACAAAGATCCGAATATTCCGATCAAATGTCATGTCTGTTCTACTCTACGGATGTGAAACCTGGAAAGTGACAAACACCCTCACAGACAAACTACAGGTCTTCGTTAACAAATGTCTACGAAGAATTGTTCGTATATTCTGGCCTAACACCATCAGAAACGAAGATCTGCTATACCTGACCGAACAAAAGAGGGTACAAAATGAAATAAGTCCAGAAAGTGGGGCTGGATCGGTCACACACTCCGAAAAAATAGTTCCAGTATCGTAAAGACTGCCCTAGAGTGGAATCCCCAAGGGAAAAGAAAAAGAGGTCGCCCAGTACAAACTTGGAGAAGATCCATCATGGACGAGATAAGCTCTATGCTCCACTTAGGAGTTCAAGAACCTTACATATATATATATATATATATATATATATATATATATATATATATATATATATATATATATATATATAAATTACGATTTTTGAGGATGCAGTCAGTTTATTTGGCCCACAAGACAAAGAAAACTCTTTGACTTACTGTCAAGCTTTCGAATTTTATTTAATTCTTTTTCAAGACATCTATAAAAAGAAATATAAATTAACTAGTTAAAATTGTTAATTGTCTTACTTACTGCATCCTCAAAAATCGTAATTTATATTTAAATCAACAGTCAAGAATACCACCAACTTATATACCTATATATATATATATATATATATATATATATATATATATATATATATATATATATATTATATATATATATATAAACTAATAGTACTTATATGGCAGAATGAATTGGTACCAGAAGAGTTGAAAAAGGGAATAATATGTCTGTTGCATACAAAAAGTCATCAACAGGCATTACTCTGTTAGCATCTGCATATAAAATCTTTGGCAATGTACTGTTTTAAAGACTTAAACATTTTACAAAGGAGATTTTTGGCCAGTATCAACGCGGATTTACTACTGAAAAGTCAACTGCATAACAAATTCAAGCACATACGCAGATTCTAGAAAAGTCACTAGAATATAACATAGATAACATCATCTCTTCGTCGACTTCAAAGCAACCTATGACAGTGTGAAAAGAACTACATTATATAATGCCTTTGGGATCCCACCTAAGTTAGTTAAGTTGATCCAACTAACAATGCAAAACGTAAGCCGATCCGTTAGAATTAAAGGAGAAAACTCTACGCTCTTTGATGTTAATAATGGTCTAAGACAAGGGGGCGCGCTGGCGTGTCTCCTCTTTAATATTGCCTTGAAAACGGCAATCAGACAGTAACCATAGAATGACACCATCATGAAGTAATGTGAGATTGGATTAGGAGATAGCATATATTAATAACACAAAACAAAAGTTCTATCTATATTTCGCTTTTTTAAGTGTACTCGCTCTTCCGATAGAGATATATGAAGGAGTAACACTAAGTCACAAGCCCCCTACTCTTGCCGTACTACTTAACCTTTTTACAAAACCAAAGTTACTGGGCCTTAAATTCTTAGATGGGAGGGAGATCGTCAATTATATTAAAATTGATGTAATTCAAAATCAGTAGTAAGTTTGATTTATAAGATGTATTTTTTTACCTGAACTAAGTAGCACCTTTGAGTATAATGGGTCGAGCGCAAATTCAGCCATATTATAACCGATCGGTTTAGTTAACTCCCCATCAATGTCTATTGCATCTAACGCATACAAAATTTCTAAGGCACTCTTTAAATTCTCAATAGGAGGTGGACTAGGAAAACTGAATTTGAGTAGATTAGCTATCCCTAAAGCTTTTATTTGTAACACTGCATATGTCAAGTTACTCCGAACCATCTCAGGTGGAGTGTTGTCTGCTAGTTTTGCTGCGTCTTCCTCTGTGTAGAGTCTGAAAATTGAACACATTTTTTTTTAAATGGTACATATGTATCTAATGTAATTTATAATTTTGTTTAATATGGTACAATATGATATAAGTAAAACAAGCAAGAAGAAAAAATTAGATCTATTTAAAGTAAGTTTATAGGGGGTCAGTCGTAAAAGGGTTTAAGTGCAGTTTTGATAGTTCTGAGAAAATCAGCATCAAAGTTGTTTGAGTTTTATAAATTCTTGGAATTATTAAACTAAAATATATCTATTGTACAATGTTCTATATAAGGGTATATTATTACTTTTACTACATCCTTTCTTTTTTTCAATTATTGAAAAAATGTACTTGAATCGGGACATGGTGTTTAAAAATATTACTGGTAAAACGGTTCAAGTGCAGATGTTAGGTATTACTAATCATTTTTTAAGTATTCAACTAAACATATTTTGTAAACTTTTAAGTACAATATCATTCGTAATCCGACTCTAAGAAAATATCTTCTTCGCCATCATTCCCGTCGGCGTCGTCTCTGCTGGCAGCTGATTTTGCTGATTCCAATTTTGCATATGCCGTTAATGTTCCAGTATGTTTCAAATTTCGGTAAATGGAGTGGTGACATAAGGGAATGTAATATTGTTCTGAAGCTATTTTCTTGTGGCATTGTAAATTAATTACTATTTATAACTGGGAATAAGCCACATTAAAGATAAAAATACATTTATTGACGTTTCAATTTCCAATTCGGAAATCGTTCTCAAAATACAAATAGTAAATTAAACAAATTTTGTTTTTTGTTACATAGTGAAAAAATTCTTCTGATAATTTAATTTTATCTGACTCATTTATATTGACAATTCAGACATACATTATGCATTTTAAAGTAGACGACTTTAAAATGATATTGCCAATATTGTTGAGTTGCGCTCCTGGGACGACTTTACTTATAAGATAGTTCATTCGATTACATGAAATCAACTTTAACTTGAGAATATCCGTCAGAAAAAATCATAGCATGTAATTCGTCTTTAAAAAGACAAACACATGACATGATGACAGTAAAATTCTCCTGTTGGTGAATTTTAGTAAATTTAGTAAACTAAATTCACGAACAAATACTTACAATGTCGGGATAGTATTATGAGGTTTTTTTTTCCTGGTTTTTCCCTCATAATTTACTATGGAATCACCAACAGGAGAATTTTACTGTCATCATGTCATGTGTTTGTCTTTTTTAAAGACGAATTACATGCTATGATTTTTTCTGACGGATATTCTCAAGTTAAAGTTGATTTCATGTAATCGAATGAACTATCTTATAAGTAAAGTCGTCCCAGGAGCGCAACTCAACAATATTGGCAATATCATTTTAAAGTCGTCTACTTTAAAATGCATAATGTATGTCTGAATTGTCAATATAAATGAGTCAGATAAAATTAAATTATCAGAAGAATTTTTTCACTATGTAACAAAAAACAAAATTTGTTTAATTTACTATTTGTATTTTGAGAACGATTTCCGAATTGGAAATTGAAACGTCAATAAATGTATTTTTATCTTTAATGTGGCTTATTCCCAGTTATAAATAGTAATTAATAAGGGAATGTAGTCCAAGACGATTAGCAGATTTTTATATTTGGCATCCTTAATTGGTAGCGTCGTGTCATTAATAGGGTTCAATTTGGAGAGCTGAAAAGATGGACGTCCACTTTGTGCGTTTCCTATAGTACACATCCAAAACTCAATATCCTGGTTTAAAGTATGCTTGTACCTGAAAGCCAGTTTTTCTGTTTTAAAATATGCCAATCAGGAAATACTGCGCCATTGTATTCTCTGACCAATGGAATCCTTTTTAGGATTTTTCATTATTTCATGTAGGATCGAAAACGAGTAAAAATCTTCTGTCGTCATGTTGTGAACCACAAACTTTGATGATATATTTTTTATAACACGTTCCCAATCTGCTGGAACAAAAACTTGAGAAATTTGTCGTTTTTTCTTTTCAATTAAACTAAAACTGCGAGGTTCCAGAAACTTGTGATGGATCTCGGTAATATGAGTAGCTTGAACGATGAAGGAGAACAGTTTGCAGATGTTTTTGTTTTTATTCTGCCCTCCACTAGAGTCACTATATGCAACTATCTTTGTTACCTTGGAGGGTAGACACCTGATACATTTTATCAGATATGAGCCTTCTTCCTGGGAACCTCTTGCTGCAACTGTTTCATTCCATAAAAACATGTGACTTTGTCCAGTAAGTAAGTTGTATATGCAAAAATTGTACGTCCATATTTGACGAAGGTAAAATACCTTGAACGTAGTTAGTAGTGGTGTTGGCAATGTCTGTTGCAAATCTCGGGGTCCCGCTTACGTTTTGTTGTTGTTTGAGGAGTAATATGTAAATCGTCATTGTTTTCAGAAAAAAGCTCGTCAACTCCTGTGTCATCCGCTTGTTCTTCTTTATCCGGTATATAATCTGAATCCTCGTCGGTTTGGAAAGGATCGGATTCTTCTGCAAAAAATACGAAATATTCTGTTTGATAGAAAATTTTGATATAAAACCATAGTGTTGGTGCGTGGCAGTGGCGAATCTAGACCTTAGGATGCGAAATTTGCCTTAGAGGGAGGAACTTTCAATAAAACACGAACCGAAAGACATAAAAAATATACCCAAATTATATAAAAGATATAAATAATATCTTACATTAAGTTCCCTTAATTTCCCTTACTAACGTGTTTATTGGGTGAATTAAATTCGATGTCTGCTAATATATTTTTGTTTCAACAATTATTTCTTTAATTTTGACTTCTTAATATTCTCAAGTTTCAAATACTGAACAAACTATTGAAACAATTTAACTTAATATCTACATAACATACTTAATTTATATCTTACCTATACACATTACCAGATCTCACTCTTCCAGCTCTACCAGCTCTCTGAGCTGCGGAGGATTTGCTGATTGGGAGTACTACCAAACTATCAGTATGAGTTTCTGTATTGTACCATTTAAGCTTAACAAATCCACAGTCGATCACTATAAAACCACAAAAATATATTAATTCAATGGGGACTTTATTATTTTATATTTTATTTTATCATTTTAAAACTCATAATAATTTTTTAAACAAAGACGTAACGATTCTATTAGGTATACGATTTAATATTGAAGAAAACAAAGGACAAAATGGAATAGGTAAAATAAGAAGAAAATAGTGAGATTAAATTGAGGAAAACGTAAAGACAAGAAAAGATATTATTTAAGAAATAAAACTTTAAAATATATAGATATAAAGATATAGAAAACGAAAGAAGAATTGTAAATTGGAAGTTATTTAACATTTTAAAGCATTTAGTAAAAACAAAATGTTTACCATTTAGGGGAGGCGGGGGCACTTTTGAACGTTCTTTCTTTTTAAGCGTATTATGACTTACTTTGCCAAACTATTTATTTTAGGTATCGCAAACAACATTAGGATATCTAATAATGTAATATTGTCTATCAAACTTACCAAGAAATTATCTGAACATACAAAAAAATGAACTTTACATATCATAAGAAAAATGTTCAAAAGTGCCCCTAATGGGATAGCTTTGAACGAAGAAGGGGCTCATTTAAATGGCCTAAAAATACTTTGAAACCAAACCAAAAAATACAGTTTATTATTGAAATAACACAATAACATACACAAATAAAAAAACACAATAAGTACCAAAGTGCCTAAGGTATAGATATTGAAATAAGAAACTATTCATTTTTAATTTACATTACGTTGTGCATGTGCTATAGTTTGAATTGTTTATAGGATGTAATTTTAAAACTACATCTTTGAAATATCCTCCGTTTCTGGAAAGTGAAAGTTGAACTTGTCCCTTTACACTTCATTTTTTTTTTCATTATAACTTTATAAATGTCAACATAATAAAACCTTTCATTGTTGTGATGTGGAAGTGAAGCAGATTTCAAATTTAAAATAAAATACAGGATGTTCTATTTTAAAAAACATGAATTTGGTCTGCCATCATCTTATGGAACACAGTGTAAAATTGTAACTAATTTTAAAATGTGGAGTTTAAAGCTGCCTAAAATTTTTGTCAATAACTTTTTTTTGTAATATTTACTATAACAGATCTACTGAGCTTCCTCACACTAATCAATCACCTTGTGTATACGTTGCATTAGTCGTGCGAAGTTTCATGCCACTCTCCACTGCTTGTATGGTATTTTGAATATCATCTTCAGTTGGGGCCACTTCTGCACGATTTCTTTTGTATGTACGTATCTTCTCAGTTCCTGAAAATCCACATTTAATAGTAATGGGGCACATACCTTAGAAAATCCCTGCAAATTACAGGCTAGCAGCTAACACCACGCAGTTCGGAATATTTTGCTTGTATTATCCTTACAACCAAAATTACACACAAATGCGTTTAAATACCGAAAATCTTACTTTCACTGTTATGTTTGTAAACACAACAACAATCGCTCATGCCACTTCACACTAATAGTATAAATGTAGCCAACACGGTATAACAACAATTAATAATATTGCGGTGCTTATAAGACGGAAATTTGAATTATTCAAATCCACCCCACGTCCAAAAGTGCCCCCTCCGCCCCTACTCATCTATTATAAATATTACTTATTTTAAACTTACTACAACAGATAACAGTGTCACCACGCCCTGACGAGGTCTTAAGAAATGAGGAAAAGAATAATAGATAAAAGTCACAAAATTATTACCGTGAACAATTCCAGGTATAGTAACTGAAGTTTCAGCCACATTGGTTGCAACTACAACTTTCCTGTAACCATTAGGTGGTGGTTTAAAGACTTTTAGTTGTTCGTGGTGTGGCAGAGAACCGTACATGGGTAGTACCATCATATTTTCCTTCTTTCTAGATTCTTCTATCAAATTTGCGTGTTCGTTTAGCAACCTCACAGCTCGGTCTACTTCTTCTTGGCCGGTTAGAAAAACTAGGATGTCACCTGTTGCTTTGGACGCGTTGATTTTAAGAACACTGTCTACGGATGCTTGAACGTAACACGGGACTGGCTCTAAAATAAAATAATATATACATTGTAACGATTTCTGTAAGTCTTAGTTCAATTATTTCAAAATCCTTTAACTGAATTTAATGCATTTAAACAAGCCCGTTTTGTTCAAGCCAGTATAGGGCGTCGTCTAATTATGTATTCGAAGGAATGCTTTTTATAAATATCTCAAAATCAGTTTATTAAAATAAACAAAATTTAAAAGTGGTTGTATCATTCAATCCAAATTGTCTTGGTAATCGTTTCTCTATAATATCTGATTAGTTTAACTTCTTAATTTTAATTTCTAAAACGATAACAAACTAGGGGAAAACAGTAGGGAAATATTTTGCCGGTAAAATTGCGATGGATGTGTGAGAATTGAGAGTTAAACCGACCAAGCTTTAAAATAGGACGGTAGTATGGTAGACCGGGGGAATTTCGACACCTTAAGACAATATAAATTTTCATATTTATTCTATATTAATTAAGTTTTTGATGAAAATACCTATACGATAATTGGAATTTGTCGTATTCACCGAGTATTTAATATTGGTAAAACAATGTCGTTTATCATATGGATTTTATCATATGGATTTAAGTAGGTATTTGATGTATAAGCATAATTGTATTAAAGTATATCTAAAAAAGTATCTTAAAATAAAAAAAAATTAGAAACAGTTATAAATCAGTTTATTGTAAAACATATGTTTTTCTACTACTTTTTATAAAATTGTCGGCCTTGTACAATCTATTAGTGCTACTACAAAATTATCGTTCAAATTAGTCTGTGTTCTAATTAGTTTAATTTCGAATGATAAACAAAAAAAAACACCTAATTGAATACGTACCTGATATATAAAATATCTCAACAGGAAATTGTCTCCCTTCCACTGACATGATAACGGCAGTATCGTTTTTCTTATCATCGGTGGTATTGTTATTAAAAAAGTCGTGTAACTCTTTGGCATCTAAAGTTGCTGAAGCCACTATTAGTCTAAGGTCTTTACGTTTCTAAAAAATATCAATATTATATTAAATAGGTGGTTTCACAACCACTTACCAATTTTGAATTAAATTTTCGTAAAGTCCTGATTAACTATAACAGTACAATAATGGTAAATGGTGTTGTAGGTCACAAATTCAAAGCAAATGTACAAAATAAACATGATGCATACAAAAGTTACTAAACTTTTCAACTTCTTCCTATATTCACTCTTTGGAGCAAAAATATTTCAACTTTGAGAGCTTATACAGATTAGTTTTACGGTTTACCCCTAAAAAGGCGCTTAAAACGCGATATGGTACATGACATGCCGAATTTTTTTTATCGAAACTTTTTTTAATCAATTCTATATATTTTTTCAAGTTCAAATATATATTTTTTTAATTTTTGCAAGTGGGCCAGAAATTGTTAAAAAATGACATAACAAAAAAAGTTCTGGGTGTGTTTTGTAGGCTTGAGGATCTTTCATTTAACTTTTAGATTAGAGCAGAGTAGGTTGTGGCTCGAGTTTATGTTGGTTAGTGTCGGCTAAACGTAAATTAAAAAAAAATATTGGAGTCCTTACCTTTAAAATTTTCTTCATCAAACCCATCAATATATCTGTGTATAATGATCTTTCGTGAGCTTCGTCCAGCATAATTGCAGAGTAACCTTTAAGAAGTGGATCAGACATCATTTCTCTAAGCAATATTCCTTCGGTCATATACTGGAACATAAATAAATATTTTTAGATACGTTTATCATTTGAAAGGTAAGGAAAAGGAAAAATATGTATGGGCGAAATTACACAAAATTAGTTTAAATAAAATAATATACATATTATTTCAATGACAACAACTCAAAACACAAAAAGTGAAGTTGTACACAAGAAGTGCAGTTTCACAACTTTATATAAATAAAAATTAAATATTAAATGGAAACTATTCGTCCTTGCAATCTCGATGGAGTCTTGGAACCATGACGACGAGGTTGGCCGAGGAATCATAATTGGAAAGGAATTGGCGACTTCGGCTAAAGAAATACCTGTGGGACTTATCAATGTCAGTGACTACCCAGTGACCATCAAGAAAGGGACAAAAGTAGGAACTTGTGTACCGTGACATCCATAATCCGTTAGACGACAACATCCGATAATTCCAACGACAAATTCGACCAAATGGTTGCAGTTGCTGGACAGTCTCAAAATCAGTTGGAGAAAAGGAAATTAAGGGAATTTATTCGGCGGTATCGTGATATTTTTGTACCGAAAGGAGGAAAGACGGGAAGAACTAACATAAAATTGATACTGGTAATGCTAAACCAATTCGTCAAACAGCTCGACGATTACCACAGGTGAAAAAAGAGGAAGCTGAAACGATTGTTCAGTAAATGAAGAAAGACGGGGTGATATAACCTTCTACGAGCCCATGGGTCTCTCCGGTGGTCCTGGTTAGGAAGAAAGACGGAATGACGAGGTTTTGTGTGGATTACCGTTTGCTGAACAAAGTTGCCAAGAAAGATAGTTATCCTCTGCCTCGAATCGACAACACATTGGACACATTGGCTGGAAGTAAATTGTTTCTACTTTGCATTTAAAGTCTGGATACTGGCAGGTAGAAATGGACCCAGTAGATAAAGAGAAGACAGCCTTCACCACAGGATCTGGATTAAGGCAATTCAACCTTATGCCATTTGGACTCTGTAATGCTCCTGCGACATTTGAGAGGCTTATGGAAAATGTGTTGAGAGGTTTATCTTGGAAAACATGCCTGGTTTATCTAGATGATATAATCGTCTTGGGGGAGACATTTGAAGACCATCTGAAGAATTTAGAAAACGTTTTTTATCGACTTAAGCTGCCCAATTGATGTTAAACCCCAAGAAGTGCCGGCTATTTCAAGGTAAAGTTAATTATCTGGGTCATATCGTCTGTAAAGAAGGAGTGGCCGTGGATAAAAAAAGTCGATTCCATTAAGAAATGGCCATAACCAACTAAGAAACATCAAGTGAGAACTTTTCTTGGACTATGTACTTACTACCGGAAGTTTATTAAGAAGTTTGCAGATATCACTAAGCCATTAACGCGACTTACAGAGGAATTAAAGATTACCGCTGGGATACAGATTGCCAAAATGCCTTTGAGACCTTGAAAAAGCATTTAATCATAGCACCAATTTTAGGGTATCCACTGCTAACGGAGAAAGAGAGTTTATCTTAGATACAGGTGCAATTAATGTGGGAATTGGAGAAGTGCTATCTCAGATTCAAGGAGGACAGGAAAGCGTCCTTGGATATTTTAGTAAAGTTCTTTTAAAACCTGAGCGGAATTAGTGCGTCACGAAAAGAGAATTTCTAGCAGTAGTAAAATTAGTAGACCACTTCTATCAATACCTCTATGGAAGGAAGTTTTTAATCCGAACCGACCATACCGCCCTTAAGTGGTCAATAAAGTTTAAGAACCCAGAGGGTCAGATAGCCAGATGGATCGAACGACTTCAAGAATACGATTTTAAGATTGAGCATCGGGCCGGAGTTAGTCATAGAATCTCTTTCCAAAAAGGCCATGCCCAGCGGGAGTGCCTTTGGAGATCCATAGTGACCAAGGAAGGAACTTCGAAAGCAATCTATTCCAAGGAATATGTGATAGACTAGGCATGAAGAAAACAAGAACTACAGCATATCATCCGCAATCAGATGATATGGTAGAACGGATGAATAGGACAGTTGGCAAGTATTTAACAAAGATGGTGTCCGATCATCAGCGAGACTGGGACCAATATTTTCCGTTCTTTACAATGGCCTACAGATCTGCTGTTAACGAATCAACAGGATAGACACCAGCCAGAGTCCTATTCGGACGCGAGATGCGACTACCTTGTGATCTAGAGTTTGGGTGTCGACCTGGAGAAGATGTAGCAGGGTGAAGATTGTGTAATCGAATTACGAAGAAGAATGGACGATGTACATGAGTTGGTCCGTTCGATACAAAAGCCGAAAAGGGGTGCTTTAAGAAGAACGACTCTATACTCCCAAGAAGCGAAAAGGTTGTTATCCCAAGTTGCAGCAGTTTTGGGAAGGTCCATACCTCATTATGAAGATCGACGATGTTATCTACCGAATAAGCAAGATTCCGAGGAGAAAGCCGATGATAGTACACCATAACCGGCTGGCGTCTTTCGAAGGTGACCACGACGTACATGAAGAAGTGGAAGTAAACCAAGTCCAAGATGTGTCTGACTTCACGTTTGAGGCATTTATGGGGGCCTATGGAGGTACCAGTAAAGCAAGACATGGTGTTGTTACCACTGAAGAAAAGCAAGATCTACTCGAGCTTCCCGATGACTACTCACTGGCTCTTACCATCCCGCCCAGTATCAAAGACGCACCAGGGTTGGCATCCGTCTTTCGAAGGAAGTTCGGTCGAGTTGCAGAAATTCAATGCCAAATGCCGGCTCCCGGGAAAGCCTTGAAACTCCAAGATGCATCACGTTACATTTTCTACCTGGAAACAAAAGACACTGCCCGTGACCAATCTACCTACCGACATGTATGGGAAGCCTTACTTCAATTGAGAGAGCACGTACTAGAGTCCGACGTGCAAAAGTTAGCCATGCCAAAATTAGATTGGAGGGTTATCCGAAGTATGGTGAAGAAGATCTTTAAAGACACCGAAGTCCAGGTGTTAGTCTGTTCCAATCCTCATAGTTACTGGTGCGGGGAGAAAATCATCCTTTGTCATTTTTATACTGGAAGTTGTAAAAGAGGGTCCAGTTGCCGATACCAGCATACCGTTCCAGTTCCAGTCCCGACAAGGTTCCAGGAGGAACCATCTTTTAAGAGGGAGGTAATGTTACGATAAATATGACTCATGCCTGAACTGTAAACATATTATTTCTAACAAGTCTGAGTGGTTGTATCGACTTTGAATTGTAACACCACGCGGAAATGTAGTATATAAATTAGAATCGTGTAAATAGTGGAAATAAATTATTGTAAGACTTTACATAAATTAAAGACTCTAATAAACTAAGTGTTAGAAGATTTTTTTATAATAAATAAAGTTAATAAATTAGATTAATAAAAACAGTTCATTATTATTGCAGGTTTTTTATTATTGTTTCTTTTGGCAACGAAGAGCCTATAGAAGTTATGCATATAAGTTGCCTTAAACTATGTTGATTTTATCTATCTTGTTGTTATTTTACGCTTTAGGCGCTTTATTGGTATAATATTACAATTGGGATTATCAGCTTTAATTTTATCTAAACGGTATTTTTCATCAAACGGTATCTACTGATCATATAATTTATAATACGTTTACGCCTCCACATAAATTGTTTAAGTAAGTGTGAATATTGTTGTTTTTAATTATTATATTATTAGGTATTACAAGCGTCAATAGATTAATATAGAAAAATTTATTAAAATTTAAAAGGGAAATTCCTGACTTTATACCATACTTTTAATACACTTACTATGAAGTATCAGATCACAATCCACTTATCGCCAAGATTACACTCAGCCTTAAAAATATTAAACGACATCAAAGAATCCCTACAATAGACAAAAGAAAACTTAAAGAACCTAAAGTAAAAGAATACCTCCAACATGAACTGCATGTGAACTGTAGCAAATTGAACACAATCACCAATGATATTGACGAGTACTGGGATCGACTAAAACATTGTCTACTGGAACCCTGTAAAGAAATACTAAAGACTTCCGCAAGGAGAAAAGAAGAATGGATGAATGACGAAATACTCAATATGATGGAACAACGGAGGGAATTTAAAAACAAGGACAACAATAAACACAGAGAGATAAAAAACGAGATCAGGAAGATGATAAAGCAGGCAAAAGAAAAATACTTTAAAGAGAAATGCAAAGAAATCGAAGACCTTCATATGATCTGCTTAACCTACACAAGAAAGTTAAAGAACTGGCAGGACTAAGAAAACAAAATCCCACTCGTGCAATTCTGAATAAACACGGGACTACTATAACACATACCGACGAGAAAGTACAAAGATGGGCAGACTATATCGACGAATTGTTCGATGATGAAAGAGGAGATCTGGAGCACATTGAACTTACGTTAGAAGAAATAAGTCCATATATTACAAAAGAAGAAATATTACATGCATTAAAAACAATGGAGAGTGGGAAAAGCCCTGGACCTGACATGCTTCCTATAGAAATCCTAAAAATTCTAGATGTGAAGCACATTGATGTTTTAGTGACACTCTTGAAACAAATTTATAGTTCAGGCGTATTACCCAAAGAGTGGTTAACGTCGATTTTTATTTGTCGCCCCAAAAACAAAAACGCAAGAGAATGCAGCGATTACCGCACTATTAGCTTGATGTCTCATGTGCTAAAGTTAATACTAAAAGTCATCCATAACCGAATATATCACAAATTGGACATTGACGTTAATGATATACAATTTGGTTTTCGCAAAGGCCTAGGAACTCATCAAGCTCTTTTTTCGTTTAATATACTGATACAAAGATGCCTGGACGTCATTTAAAATATATACGTATATTTTATTGATTATAATAAAGCATTCGATAAAGTACGTCATAAACAATTAATGAATATCCTTAAATCAAACAAGATTGACTACAACAACCTCAGGATCATATCAAATTTGTACTATAAACAGCGAGCAAAAGTACGTACTAACGAACAGCTGGAAGAAGAAATTGAAATTAGATGTGGAGTGAG